AATAAAAATAAAAACACACATCATGGTAATGATCATGGTAATAATTCTCCGCTCAGAATCTAAAACTAATGAAACTCGGAAATTAAATAGAAAATCAATTTTCGACCAAATTGATTTTGTTTTTAAGGTTTTACTTATAAACTAATAACCGATGATATGTTTTTTTCACCAAACATTTATTACTATTTTCTAAGAATGAGAAGTTTTTTATTTTTTTTTTCATAAATATTGATGATAAATGTTTGCTTAGCTAAAAAGGTTTAAAATTTAATACAAAGTTGTAGTACTAATTTAAAAAAAAGTGAAGTGTAGAGTTCAGCTGTGGATCCAGAATTCCAGGTACAATTAATTACCATTATAAAGATAAATAAATATGATCTACGAATAGTTAATAAACAGTTATTAGTAGCTGCTATTTAACTCATCTATAAACTATATTTTTCGATTACAGCTAATATGAACAGTATTTTTATGTAATTTACAACAAAATAATTTTTTTTCGTTTAAATATCTTAATTTTGTCAACATTTAAATTTAAAATATTTATTTAAAAAAATTGTGCTTTTATAATTCTATATTATTTTCTTTTACCATAATATTTAAAAAAAGTAATGAACATTTTAATTTTTAACTCTTAAAAGTTAAAAGTTCAAACCAGATAAATTGTCTATCAGAAACTACGACTTTTATAAGGTACGGTCTATCACCTATTATAAATAAAAGGAATATTTTTCCAAGTACAAATCGTCTAATTRAACTGGTTGGTTTTATAACCAAACATTTTAGTTATACTTACTTCTTCCATTATAAAATTATGTTCTAATGCGATGTTCTTGATTTCGATAGTTAAATAATTCATAAATAAATATGATTTACTTGTAATTTTAGTAAGACATCAATTTTTGATTATTTTAAGGTCTTATTAGTGGTACGTCTAAAATATGTAGGTACCTATCAACAGCACGATTGAAGATATTATTAAATAGATATCATATTATCATTAATCATGATCAGTGGTAATTTTTATAATAACGGTGGTATATATCTGAACGAAAACCAATTATTTAAATCATGTATAGTCCATTGGTACTACCTACGTATGTTGTATTGATGTTATTTTTAAATCTTAACAGCAATTTAAAATTGATTATCAAGTGCAATGCCCGACAATCAGGAATTTAATTACAGAAAATACTTTTGAATATACTCGATACCTACATATTGCATTTATAATACCTATAGATTTATATTGTACAAATGTAAGTACGACAATTCGAGTTATTTTCGGTATCGTCTGGGGTTGGAAATACACGTATTGTGTGTAGTAGTACGAGGCTGTGCTGTGAGAATTTAAACTATGCGGACCGCCATCACGCAACGACCGTAACTTCTAAACAGAAGGACGATTCAACTTTTGACAAAGGAGAATTTTATTTTTAGTACTGCTTTCAAAATCAGGTTGTAAATGCTGCTCTTTGGTATTTATTTTATTTTTACTTTTWACATATAATTATAAAATGTCTTGAATCTTCGATGTCCACTGTCCACAAACAAGATCACAATAATAATWTGTTGACTCCACGTTAGGTATATGAGCAGTAAAAAAGAATACTAAAATCTACAATATTGTGCAATCGTTTTCTAATTGAAAATTTCTACTAATATGAAAGTTGATTTAAAAAGAAATTTTACTTTTTAATAAATCACCTATACCCAAAATCATTTTTAACGTGGTTAGTTTTC